CCTCCCCCTTTATCTTTCTATTCTAAATGCTAGAATATTCACTTGATTTTGTCTTTCAGATCTATCGCATGTTTAATTTTAGAAACTTTAAAATTTTTTTTAAGGGACCAGCAGTTACCGTAATGGCTATGTCGCTGGACTCCCCCGTAGTTGACCGCGGTTCGCGTCCCAGACCTGGTGGCTTAAACTCACACCGAGTGCGTGTATGTGTGCGTGCCCAAGATCCCGAGAGGAGAATGGAGAAGGGATTGCAGCGTGGCCTTCCCCCCTGGGGGGTAATTTCTCACTTTCTATCTCTCTTTCTCTCTCTGTCTGGTGAGCGCACGCACCCTATAGCAAAAACCGCTAAAAAAAAAAAATTAAGTTTTTTTTCCGTAAGGCTTGTGTGCTTGTCAGAGAGAGACAGAAAGAGGGAAAATGAGAAATCACGCTCCAATATTTGCTAGTCTTTTTCTTATCTCCCTAAAAAATTTAATGGCTAGTGGCAAAGGTGTGGCTTGAAACACTTTCAGATCTTCTTATTCAACTACCAGAAACTTGTTACGTTCAAGCCAGGCCTGAGTGAAAGCTCATCAGACTTACCACTGCGTTTTCTGCATTACTATGATGAAAATCGTAGTGCTTTTTCTCTTCCCTCTACTTCTCTCCCTTCTCTTCACTTCCTGATGTCAGCTAGCTACACTTTTATTTTCACATTGTCAAGGTAGATAATATTCATACTCTGTTTTATATTACAGTTGTATCCTCTGTGCTTTGTCTCTGGGTCAGTTATAGACGTTAAAAAGCAATAAACAAGTAAACCATTATGACTGTGTAGCTCTTATTCACTGAATAGCACAGTAGTAGGTTAATATTCCGTTTCTTCCACAGTGGTTCTGATGCGATCTTGCGCCATCCAGGGAGAAGTTTCCTAAGATCATGGCCAAATGGGTGAAGTTTTCTTCTAGCTTATTTGTTGTTTAAAGTCATGTCACATTTTAGTTTGCTTCATCTCTGGACCTTGACTTTCTTCTTCACTTTTCCTGGAGTTCCAATGACCTTTTTCTTGTTGCCAAAACATGTAGTCAGCATGTCCTTAAAATCATTCACTTTGTTACTCATATCGTCCATTGTGTTGAATCCACTTCCCATCCAGAGACAACTGTCTCAGAGCCTCCATCTTCCTGCTTCCATCTCTGCTGGTTTCTCTGCTGTACAACTGCTGTTCTGGGACTTCACTCCATTCCTGAGTTACCACTACTGTGTCCTGGCTCTCGTTTTCCTCCTTTATAGTTTACACCTTCATTTGAGTGGAGTACATACTTGAGTATTATAGCTTCTTCAGAAATGAAATGGGGGAGGTATGTTTTCTGAGCTCTTGTCTGTTTCATTTTACTTTCCCGTAGCTGGTAATCTGGCTAAAATTCTAGTTTCAAAATAAATGTCCCCCAGAATTTTTAAGTTAGTGCTCCATTATTTTCTAGCATTCAGTATTGCTGATGAAAAGTCTGATGCCATCCTAGTTTTTGTTTCTTTTGTTTCTATATTATGCAGTAATGAATTTAAGTGTACCTTTTTTTCATTCTTTGTGCTGGATACTTGGTGGAATATTTCAAACTGGAGACTTGTGTCTTCAGTTTAAGGAAACGTATTACTATTATCTATCTGGTTGTTTTCTTTTGCTTTCTCTATTCCCTCTTTTTGAATCTCCTGTTACTTAGATGTCATAACTCTAAGATTTATCTTCTATTTTACTCAAAATTCCTCCCCCTTTATCTTTCTATTCTAAATGCTAGAATATTCACTTGATTTTGTCTTTCAGATCTATCGCATGTTTAATTTTAGAAACTTTAAAATTTTTTTTAAGGGACCAGCAGTTACCGTAATGGCTATGTCGCTGGACTCCCCCGTAGTTGACCGCGGTTCGCGTCCCAGACCTGGTGGCTTAAACTCACACCGAGTGCGTGTATGTGTGCGTGCCCAAGATCCCGAGAGGAGAATGGAGAAGGGATTGCAGCGTGGCCTTCCCCCCTGGGGGGTAATTTCTCACTTTCTATCTCTCTTTCTCTCTCTGTCTGGTGAGCGCACGCACCCTATAGCAAAAACCGCTAAAAAAAAAAAATTAAGTTTTTTTTCCGTAAGGCTTGTGTGCTTGTCAGAGAGAGACAGAAAGAGGGAAAATGAGAAATCACGCTCCTGGGGTGATGGCCACACCACAATCCCTTTTCCTCCATTCTCCTCTTGGTATTTTGGGCATGCATGCACACATGCCTGGTGCGATTTTCAAACCTCCAGGTCCAGAACTTGTACTGTGCAGTTGGCCGTGTGGGAATCCAGTTTCTTAACCACCACATCTGCTGGTTCCGTGATAACATATATATATATATATATTTTTTTTTTTTTTTTGAGATACCATTTTTAATTCCCAAAAGTTCTTTCTTCTTTTTGGATTTTTTTTTCATAGCATCTTGCTTTATGGATAGAATATTCTTGGGTGAATCTAGAGCTACTGATTAGTGTTCCCTTCAGAATTCTCTTTGTCTCCTGATTTATATGTTTTTTCCAGCCCAGTTGTTCCATTTCTATTTATGCACATATTTGTATATTTGTTCTGGTTTTCATCACAAATCTGGTAATTCCTGGTTGTTGGTGTGGATCCCCCTGCTGTAGAGTGCTCAGTTTCCCCACTGAAGCCCTTGACTCTGGAGGGGGCCTTCATTTAGGATGGAAACATCCACAGGAGCCATCCTGGTTTTCCTCAGGCAGTGCATTCAGGTCTTTTAGAGACACATTCCAAGGTATTCTTTTCCTTCTCTCTCATCTGCATCATTTTGTACCTTTTCTATATTCTAGACATTTGTGAAAAACATTCATCTTTTGGGTCATTGGAAAAGTCATGACAGATTTTTCTATGTTTTTTCTATGTAAACATGCATCATGATTTTTCCAAAGACCCAATAGTTTGATCCTCCCCTTACAAATTATCTTTGTACTTAGGCATTTATTCATTTCCCCATTCACTATCTTTTTTTTTTTTTTGAGAGAGATTTTTGCTATAGAGTATGTGTGCTTGCCAGAGAGACAGAGTGAGACAGAGAGAAAGTGAGAAATCATCCCCCGGGAGAGAAGGCCATGCCTCCATCCCTTCCTTTCGATTATCCTCCTGGGATTTTGAACATGCATGCACATGCGTTTCAAGCTGCCCGGTCTGGGACTTGAACCAAAGTCAGCCACATGGGAGTCCAGTGCCTTAATCACTAGGCTACCTGCTAGCCCTTCACTGTTCTTTTAATAGGATCTTGGTGGGGATGGAATGGGAGGAAAGAGAGTGTGCTTTACATGCTATTTAAAACACATTTTTAAAATGCTTTAAAACTAATCTTCCCACTTTTCAAAATGATCGCTGTAGAAAACTGAGAAAATATAAACAATTGAATGAAAACAATTGCTCCATCATCCAGAAATAACATTGCTAATATTTGCAAACATGCCTTAGTTACTTAATTTTACCCATTCATCTCTCTCTTTTTTTTTTTTACAACAATGGAATTATTCCATATGTTCTGTTTTCTAATACGCCTCTTAAAACTAAACAATAATTTCTAAATATCTTTCCATGTCACAATATGCAATGATATTCAAGACCTGGTATTTATTGAAAGATTTATCTTCACTTACTTAGCTAATCCTCTATTTTTAGACATTAGGTTGTTTACAATTTTCACTGCCATCAACAAGCCTTTATAAACATTTTTGGCTAAATCTTTACTCACGTTTATGACTATTTACTTAAGATGAAATTCTAGTAGTGGAATTTCTTGGTCAAAGTGTATGCAGGCTCCAGTCTTGGTCCAACATTCAAGGTTCTCTTTGAAATAGTCTCACTTTAACTTTCTGACCCCAAACTTTGACTTCACCCCACTTCACTTAGATTCCCTAAAGCATTATCACAGAAACATCAGGAGCCGGAGTTTTAGAGTCAGAGAGATCAGCTTAAATCCTAGTTTGCCCTTTACTAAGTGTTTGACGTTAGGTGGTTTAAATTCAGCTCTTGGAGCACTTTCCTAAAATGGGGGAAATACTTCTACTTTTCTGTTGTGGTTGTGCTCTGATGCATGTGAAGCATACACATTTACATCACTAGGCCTTATGTAGGAGAAAAGGCTCATAATGTAATGATGCTGTTAGAAGGTTCCTAACCCTAAGCTCATTCAAATCCCTCTACAAGGTCGCATTTGAGATGCATGCTTGCGTGAGGTTCTCCTGGCCAGGGCAGCCCATCACGGTGCATCGTTAGAACGCCTTATTCAATGTCTGATTGCATAGTCCTGGTGCTTTCATACGTGCACATGGATGGAAGGAGGCAGCATCCGGCACTGTGACGTTGGTCCCTCACCGTCATGGCTTGATTAATTTGCATTAGTGTTCTTGGGGGCACGAGGTGATGATGAAGAGGAGCTGGCGACTCAGTGTTGGTAGCATCAGGATTGTTTTATGGAGTGTATGTGGACCCCTTAGGTAGCCGAGGAGCTTTCAGAGTAGAACCAGATTGCATGGACATCTGAGACCCCAGGGTAATCAGTAGGCAGCAGGGGCAAGGATATTTGCTGAGCCAGAGGCTGCCAGGCCTTCTGCTAATGGTGGGCCTCTCCGGGGCATTGTCCCAGCTGGGAAGGCAGAGCTCAGCATGCAGTATGGGGACCTTTGTGTGGCTTGCAAGATGCCTCCCTTACCCTCTTTACTTTGCACTGGGCGGTAAGATGCTTTTGTAGCTAGGAGGGCTTTCCTCCTGAGCATCACCCACCCGACAAAGGTCCCTTTCTTGCCACACAGATGCCTCCGCAGTTGCCAGGGGCGATTGAGAAGCTGCCTGTTTGCAGAGCTGCAGATGGGAGGGCTTAATGTGGGATAGCTTCCAGGAGAGGCCCCAGGGGAGAGGAAGGGGCAGCCCTGGGGAAGGTGATTTGTGGAGTATGTTGCAACACCTATGTCACTCTGTCTCCTATCTGGGTGTCTTTCAGGAGTCATGGCCGGCTTCAACATGGGGGGCGATCTCAGGGAGCCCGCTGCCAGCATCCCTCTGGGTTCCCTAGCAGCTGTTGGCATCTCGTAAGTTCCTCTCCTGAAAATCTGTCCAAGCAGAGCTGGAGACTGGGAGAGAAAACCCCAGGCAAAGAGGGGATTGCCCCTTTTGTTCTGAGAGTGCCCCGACTGTGACCAATCTATTTCATATTCCGATCCTCCTTTTAGCACGCGGTGGGCTGGAAAATTCACGTCTGGTGGGTTCAGACATTGCCCTTTCATGCCCCCTGCCTGGGAATGCTGCCGAGGAGGAGGGTCATTACACAGATCACAGATCGGATCCTTTCTTTCCTCTTCCCTCACCTCCCCTTGTCCCTCCCCCACCTCCATTTTGAACTTGGGATTCTTTTTTAACCATTGAGTTTCCAGGATTGTTGGAGGGAGCACAAAGATGAAGAGATTTACAAACAGGTTAGGTTGTGTCCTAGCACTGCCGCTGATTGGCTTTGTGACTTTGGACCATTTGCTCTCTGCATGTCCATTTCCTTTTTCTAAAATGAGGATAATATGGGACCAGCAGTTGGGGCAGTGGCTTTGTCGCTGGACTCTCATGTAGTCGACTGCGGTTCGAGTCCCAGACCCGGTGGCTTAAACTCATGCTGGGCGCGTGTGTGTGCATGCCCAAGATCCTGAGAGGAGAATGGAGGAGAAGGGATTGCGGTGTGGCCATCCCCCATGGGGGGTGATTTCTCACTTTCTGTCTCTCTCTCTCTTTCTGGCGAGCGCATGCGCCCTATAGCAAAATCTCTCGCAAAAAATGAGGGTAACGGTAATACTCGTATGTGTGCTTGGGTGTCAAGGCACATCACAGAAGCTCAGGGACTGGCTCTCCTCCACCCTCCCACCCCCTTCGACTCCCCGGTTAGCCTCTCCTTCATCTTCCCCAAGGCTGTCAGGCTTCTCTGGTTTTAGTTCACACTGTGCCACCCACTCCAGCAGGCTGGGTGGTTTTCAGTCTACTTCTGACCTTTTAGACTCTTCCGTTTTTCTCTTTGTAGCTTAGGAAAGCTTCTCTACCTTTTATTAGGTAGATGTGAACAGAGGCTAAATGATCATATGATGCGATCATCCACATGACGATGATTTAAGAAGTTAAAAATGTCTGTGTTGTTTTAACCACACTATTTAAACATATTAATATATCCGTTTCACCAATACTGAAGTTGCTCGTCTTTATTGAAATGGCACCATTGCTGCCGGCCATGTGACACAAGCTATTTTATACAAATAAGGCAATAACACTGGGAAAACAGAGATGGAATTGAGCTAGAAGGAAAGAAGAGAACGAGCGTTCTGCATGAGTACGCCGTCTTGTTTTTGGTTACAGCTAGGGGCCCCGGGAGGACCTTTCGGCCCATCCTCTCACTGTCCGGGTGGGAGTGAGGAGACCACAGGGGTCGTGTGACTCATGAGCACAGTCTTCCCCATTATCTGTGATCCAACTACCAGCAGGACTCAGCGGCCTGAAGGATCATGGATTTGTTCTTCCGCCAGGGTGGGGAAGATGAGATGTGGGCTCCGGGTCAACTCTGCCATGAATCCTGGCAACCTACAGGCCAGCTGGGCCTCCTGCATCCCCAATCTCAACACCCATTGTGTTTTCTTTTTCTTTAACTTAAGAAAAAGACAAAACAATACGTTTTTTTGGGGTAAGAAATATGCTAGAGGAGAAATAGTACAAGAAGTACCCTCCCATGCCAGCTGGGGAAGCTTCATGACTGGACGGTCGCTTTCATTTGGAGGCAGGTTCCCACAGACACCAGAAGTTGAGTGTGTGGAGTGGGACGGGGCTGGGCACGGTCAGGGCAGCTCTGCTCTGCTCTTGGGTTTTGCAGGTGGTTTCTGTACATTGTATTCGTCTTCCTGCTCGGCGCCATCTGCACCCGAGAGGCCCTTCGCTATGACTTCCTGATCGCTGAAAAGGTGGGTGAGTCCTGAGCTGCCCAGAGAGCTCAGTCTGCTGGGGTCATTTATTTGTTGCCGTCAACAAACGGCTGCCTCCTCCCCATAGTCCTGTCCAAGTATCCATATGGTCTTTAGCCTTGGACTGAAGTAGTGGGGATTCAGAAATGATAAACGCGTATATGTTCTGCTTACGGGTTCCTAGAAACAGGTGACAATACCCAGAGGGGCACACAAATACAGGCGGCTAAACAATAGAGACATCTCTTCATGTCAAAAATCAAGACAGAAACAGAAGAATCTGGTCTCCCAGAATTCCCTGCTAGGCCAGGTGATGGCATGGCAGTAATGCACCTGTATCCACATAGGAAGAGTCCTGGGTTCACATCCTGGAACCTCCCTGGGCACGCCCATGATTCTGGCTGGCCAGGGTGGACAATTGGGGTGCGGGGTGGATCACAGTTTCAGGACCCTTTTGGGGGTACCTCTCTTTCTTTCTCTCTCTTTCCCATGGAAGAAATGCAAAAATAAAGTTTAAAATGATGTAGTTAAAAAATCCCCAGCTAAATGAGTCTTTGGTTTACCTATCTCTTCACTTTCCATCATGAAAGGAAGTACCTCCCACAAGTAAGCGAATAAGGAGGAGGCGGCTGCCAGGCAGAGAAGGGGCGGGGTGGAGGAGAGAGATGGAGGAAGCCTAGCGCCAGGACGAGGCACTGGCCAGGAGACGGGGCAGAGGGCCCGCCTAGTCCCTGAGGACCCTGACCTCTCTGGCTTTCCTGAAAATCGCAGCCCAGGTCGATCTGGCTGTCAGTCTTTGTTTCTCCAGTGTACACCCTGCCAGGAGATTAGCGAATTCCTCACGTTCCACAGCCTTTGTTAGTGGGCTGGAGGTCCTGGGACATCAAGGATATTCATTTGGGTTCATAAACCTACAAGAATAAGATTCCCAGACATTTTTCTGGAAATCCCCAAAAACTCCTACCTTCTCTTCATTTCCTGGGGAAAAAGTGTATTCTGAGATTCTCATCATGTATCCAAACAAATGTACTTGGTTAGAAGGGTTTTCCTTCTTTCTTGTTTTTTTTTTCCTCATAATTTATTTCTTTAAAGAGTGAGTTGGGGTCTCCTCGGAGGGCCCCGCCCTGTGACGACGCTCCCCGCATCTCCTCAGCCAACCAGGATCACCGGGTGCCCCTGTTCAGACCGTCCCCAGACAGCTCCGGTGTGGTGCGGCAGTGCCCCACCGCCTGCGCTACTGTGCTGGGCCTGGGGGCTTTCTCACTCAACTCGCAGGCGTCCCGAGTTCTATTTTAGTAGGAAGTAGCGTTTTCTCTGGGGTGAGGCTTTGCGAAGCAGCTTTGATGATCTTCACGGAGGGCCAGTGTGGCAGCCTGGGCAGGAAACTCTGAGCTTACGGTTGATAGAAACATGGGGTTTTCACATGAGCATTGACTCCTTTTGAAGGCACAGAAAAACTCACGTAAAGGTGGCACTTATTACAGCGGTCTAGACCTTAGTATGAGTGCAGGTTTTGAAAAGGGGAGCAGTTCAGGCACGGTCCTGCTCCTGAGATCTCAGCCCCCACCTGGCAGCCCCTGCTTTCAGGGAAGGACTCTCCCGTCTCGCTTGTCTCTGTGCTCATGCTTCATCTGGAGTATCCTCCCAGGCCCTTTCTCTGGTTGCGGAGTGGGAAGCTTGGCAGCATGAGAGAAATGGAAGGCCCCCGGAGCATCTGGATCCACGACCATTTGACCAGGGGCAGCTGCTGGCTGCTCCTCTGTACCTTGCCAGTGGCTGGCTAGCTCTGCCTCCTTCCAAAACGGACTCCTTTCTAGTCAATTCCCTCTCAGGGTCCTTTCAACCGTTAGGAACTTTGATCTGGATAGAACAATGCAAAGCAAACCCTGGGGTGAGGCTTCCCCTTTGCCCCCATGTTGCAGGGAGAGCTCAGAAAAAGTATGTGGGAGGGCAGGCAGCCTGTGTGCAAGGAAAGCCACAGACAGCAACAGAGAGGACGGATCTCCAGAGAGTGCACGTGCAAGGCCCTTGTGGGTGTAAATTCCACACCTAATAATAGGCACGGGAACAGAAGGAGACCTTCTCTGGAATGCACCTGTCCCAGGCAGAGACAGGTAGGCAAGCACTTAGTCAGTAGGGGGCACCTGTTATACCAGGCCTCACCAGTAGCACGTGGGCATGTCATTGTGCGCACACCAGGGTGAGAGGTGGAGTTCTGGTTTTAGACAAGAGGACAAGAGAACGTTTCCTGGAGGAGGCAGTGGTGAAGGCTGGAAATAAAAAAGAGAAAGCCATTGTTCTTGTTTCGCAGTAGCCGACTGGGGCTGGCGCAGCAAGTGAAATGACATTGATGGAACCGACTGTGACAATTCCAGAATTGCAGCTTCTGGTGTTCTGCTGACTCCCACTCCACCCTCCTCCCCAAATGAGACCTCTCAGGAGTTCTCCCCAAAGCTTTTCTTCTTTTGTGTTCCCTGGTGGAAAAAGCTTGCGGGAAAATGGTCTTGAACTTATGAGTTTATTTTGGTGCAAAATGTTTTTGAAATCCTCGTGTGATTTTTGTATAGTTACACATTTCCCATGGACTTTTTGAAGACCCCCTCCCACACACACACATGCTCAGGCAGTAGTTTGGGCCACAGATGATTTTACTAATAGCATCTTGAAAACAGGAGGGTGCAGCCGACAAAGACACAAGGGTAGAGCTTTCTTACTTCCTTAGTTCCTGTGGCACAACCCACTACGCTGATGCAGGTTCTCTTCATTTATTAAAAAAAAAAAAATTGACTTTATTCATGATAGCACATGTGTACACACAGGACAGAGAGCAAGAGGAGCATGCTTGGCAAGGTCTTGTTACACCTGATCCCCTTCCCACAACCCTCTTGCACCTCGGGATCTTGGGCACCCGCACACATGCCTGGCGTATTTTCAGGCCAACCTGGGGATCTGAACCCGCTGTCAGCCACTTGGTCTCCGGCACTGCAGCTCAGTTTGCTATTGACTGTGCCATCAAGCTGGGCCCTGATGTGAATTTCAGCCTTGGTTCTGAGCCGCCCCAGCCCTGAGCTTTCCTGAACTCTGAAGAAGCAAGGTCGCTTCTGTCTGTGCCCCGAGAATCACCTCCGGACGCACACAGCTGGCCCTGACATACTCCCCTTGGCGATCGTTCACACAGAGCTTCTCAATGCCTGTCTCTTTCTCTCTCTCAGGAACTTTCTGCCAGAACAATGATCTTCAATGGCTGCAGGCTGCCCCAGATTCCTTTCTACTGACCTACAGCTGGTCAACGAATCTGTTTCTGGGTTTCCTGCAGCTCCTCTGATCTATTTCTAATGATTTGACTTCCTAACCTGCAGGGTCTCTAAGAAGTTTCTTCTTACTTTTCATCCACCCCAGAGGACTTTTCCCCTGATTCTTGGCTGTCAGTAATGTTAAGCTTTCTTAAAAGTCTTTAGTATATTGCAGTGGCCCTGAGATAACCTATGGAAACACAGTACTTGGGACATAGCAGGTGCTTATTAAATTTTAACTCTCTTCCATACTCCTTACGGGGATACCCTTACAGACAGATGTTTATGTTAGGGACACACTTTTCCCTCCCACAAACCCACTGTGTTTGATCCCAATATTTATCAGTTCTAGAGAAAGGAATTGTGTAAAGAACAGTATGAGTAGAGATGAAATTCAATAGATTAAATAAATGTTTCAAAATAAACTTGTACATAGTCCAGGAAACAGATTTCTATTACAGATCAAAAAAACCAAGATGTTTAGGAGCCCTGGGGCTTGCTAACTAGCGAAATAGAGCAAACTAAGTGGAAAGAAAAAAAGTATCTTTGTTAAAAATGGAGAACCTTTGTTCCAGTTTGAAGGTACAGTGGGTAGTAACTGAACTGGCCATATGAACTGGAAGCCATATGGCCAACCATGGGTTCAGGTCCCCTGGTCAGCCTGAAAACATGTGGGTACGTACATGTGTGCCCAAGGTCTTAAGGAGCTGGAGGGCCAGGGAAAGGGGACTGCAGTGTGACACTGTCTCTCATACATGTACACTTGCTGTTAATCATGAATAAAGGGAATGGACTTAAGGAATAAAACCCATACCAAGGTAGCAGCTTTAAATACATTTTAAAAAGGGGAAGGGATCCCATAGAGTAAACTCTTGGATTTAACAGCCACGGTTTCACCTACTCAAGAGGGACCTTGAAAGCCCACAGCACAGGCTGTGAGTGAGCCTTGTCAGCCACGCTGTACCCACAGCCAGGCCCTCTGCTCTCTGTCACGGACACAACGCTCCCTCTCAGGAAGTGAAGTAGACTTCGTCTGTTTATGGAAAACAGTTTCCAAGTGAGAGAGAAAACTTGACTGGAAGTCGAGGCGTTGGTCAATTTGTGAAGTGAGGAGAGTGTCAGCGGACTCATGTCTGGGTACATGACAGGATAGAAAGCCGAAGGGCTATTGACCTTGCCTTAATAATAAATCTGAGATGGTAAGGGCTTCAGGATGTGCTGCTCAGTGACATCCAGGGGCCACGGGAATTGGATGAGACAGAATGAGCCCCCGTCTTTCAAGAGAAGGGAACAGCCAGCAAATTAGTGGAGTCCTTCAATGGCTGCAGCTCAAAATGGGAACTGGAATAAATACCAAGCACAGAGAGACGGCATTCATTGTTCTCATCAGTAGTTACTGAAAACAAGAAATGAGGGTATTTCACACCCATCTAATAGTTTAGAAAGAGAGAGAGAGCTTTCTGGGATGGCTCAAACAAGTGGATGACAGAAGGGCACCAGGTTGCCTTTGTTTTGTTTGTTTTTTTAAATAACTGTTGACACACATCTGTTCAAATAAAGTCTCACTTAAACCTCCACTGGCACATTTAGCATACTTTCAGTCTATTTCAAACAGAGGGAAGGATTAGCTTCTACGAGGGCTAGGGGCAAGCTTGTGGTTTACTGCTGCCTCGGTCAAGTCTTGCCCTGTGCCTGATACCATGCAGGGCCCAGAACCTGCCTCAGGAAGTGCTTCCCAAAGGGATGGCTGGAGGACAGTGGGAAAGAAGAGTGAATTCGGGTAAGAGGGACATGGGATGGAGTTTCTATCACTTATCTAGTCATAAGGGCCAACATTTCACTTATTTTTCAGAAAATAGACTGAATAATTGATTTACATAAAAAAAAATGGTAAGGGCCAGTAGGTAGTGCGGTGGTTAAGGTGCTGGAACCCACATGGCCAAATGTTCAGTTTGAGTCCTGGACCTGGTGGCTTGAAAGTCACACTGGGCGCATATGTGTGCATGTCCAAGATCCTGAGAGGAGAATGGGGAAGGGATTGCTGTGTGGCCACCCACTGGGGTGCGCTTTCTCACTCTCTGTCTCTCCTGCAAGTGCACATGCTCTATAGCAATGTTTTTTAAGTGATAAGTGAACAGCCCATTCTGAACAGTGGGCAACCTGGACATAAACCACTGACTGTGCTTGGACCGCCCCCATCTGACCTCCCGTTCTGAAGGTCCTGGAGGGATCCCAAGTGTGTCTGAGGAAAGGCTGGCTTAAGGTGGAAGTTACCTGCATATGCTCATAGGACCAGAGTCTCATCAAATTCCTGTATTCAGTCCAACACCAGAGGGGTTTCAGACTGGAAAACGTCAGTTCCACTTTAAGTAAATGCATAGGATTTAAGTGGAAAAACAAAAACAAAAACAAACAAACAAACAAAAAACCACAAATATAACCTTTTGGGTAAGAAACAGTAAAATTTCGGGAACCAGCAGTTAGCGTAATGGCTATGTCGCTGGACTCCCACGTAGCCGACCGTGGTTCACGTCCCGGACCCGGTGGCTTAAAACTCACACCAAGCGCGTGTGCGTGCATGCCCAAGATCCTGAGAGGAGAATGGAGGAGAAGGGATTGCGGCATGACCATCCCCCCTGGGGGGTGATTTCTCGCTTTCTGTCTCTATGTCTCTGTCTGTCTGGCAAGTGCACATGCCCTATAGCAAAAACCTCTCCAAAAAAAAAAAAAAGAAAGAAAAGAAACAGTAAAATTTCTACAGGGGGAAAGGCATGCTACCTCTCCTAAAGGATCGCCGAGGGGAGAATACAGTGGGCACAACGTGCCGTGTGCAGTGGTTCTCCACCTGAGGGGCTTTAAAAACATCCACCCTGTCTGTGTCCCACTCTACACTAGTTAAATCACGATCTCTGGGGCCGGTTCTTATATTTAGCCAGAGTGGAGAACTAGAGTGAAATTTTTTAAAAACTCGATAAAATTTCACTGTAGAGCCTATTTTCCCCCCAACCAATTGACACAGGACATATTTGGTAGAGAAGACAAACAAAGGTGATAGGTGAACAATCGCACCTCGGAATGGATTGAGGGTCGGGAACAGGACGAGTTCATCTGATAATTTTGTAAGCCTCTAGGCACACAGATTACAGGACAGGCACGGAGCTGCATTCTCTCAGCTGCTGAGCCCTGTCTGCCAGACCCCGGGCGAGGTGGGAAAGACGCATGCTACAGATGGACCGTGAAGGAGTTCATGGTGCACTGGCAGGTTAAGCCACAATGCACTATCATACAAGGTAGGGGGAAAAGGCCATCAGAACACATTAGGTCACAGAAAACATCAGAAGACATTAATTTATTCTAGTAATAACTGGTATGTGAACAGTAGGGGGGTGAGATAGACTCAAGAGAGAGGTGAGATTCATTAGGGATAAGAATGAAATAATGCATCTGGGACTAGAAGTTGGCATAATGGCTATGTCGCTGGACTCCCATGTTGTCGACTGCGGTTCGAGTCTGGGACCCAGTGGCTTAAACTCACTCCAGTCGTGTGTGCATGCATGCCCAAGAACCCAAGGGGAGAACGGAGGAGAAGGGATTGCAGCATGGCCGTGGCCCCTGAGGGGGTGATTTCTCACTTTCTGTCTCTCTCTGTCTTTCTGGCGAGCACCCATGCCCTATAGCAAAAACCTCTCCAAAAAAAAAAGGAAGAAGAAAAAGAAAAAAGATAGTATATTCATTTCACTCTTGAAATAGTTTTAAATTTCAGTGAAAAAATTTTAAATGTCCAAGGGTATATAAATGTAATTTTCTTCTGTAGTGCCTTAGTGGTTTTTTTTCCACTTTAAGCTAACTTTATTTTTTGTTTGTAACATATGAACTAGTGTAACACTTAAAACTTAAAGTACTACTTATCAAATTCTATTAGCGTATAGGCTAGACCATGGCTAGCCTTTTATAACTTTCTAGGAGAATGTGAGTCACTCTGAAATCCACTACCAGCTATTAGTCTTCATTATAAGCTAAACGGCAGTTCCATGAGTGGTACCATTGATAGGGAAATTTTAACTTAATAAGCTGAGGAGAGATCCAGACTGAACAGACTTCAATAAAAGTTATGTGGAAATAAAACTGACTGGAAGCACTGTTATTCATGTAGTCATGGCCAGGGAGATGGCATGGGAGAAAAAAAAGCCCAAAACAAAAAACCCCCCAAAAAAAAAAAAAAAAAAAAAAAAGAAAGAAAGAAAGAAGAAAGAATGTATCTAGGGTGAAGTAAGCCATACTGAATTAAAGAGGAAATGGGCTCTCTGGACAAGTGGACCTTAGTCTTGTCCACTAAGTTACGGATGTCCCCGACTATGTAGGGGTTATTCCACCTCATGTGTGATCTTGAAGGTAGTGTGTGCCCTCCCATTTCATATTACAGAAGCCCAAAGGACCAGACCCTCTTTGACCAGTCCCTATTCACCCCTGCTAACACACATGACCCAGTCAGGCCATCGGATGCTCCAACTGTAATGAATGAGGCAAAGGTAGAGAGATAGTGAGGATCCTGACTGACGCAAGAGTCACCAGTCGGTCAGATTTCAGTGACCATTTGTGAGCGGAAAGAGGTCCAGCCAGGAGCTTGTGCTTCTTGTAGCTTGAGGATATGAATCCAGTGCATGTGTAAAGGAAAGACATTTTCAAATGGGGTGAGGAGTCTTCATCAAGAAGGGTTAAATGACAAAGCTGAAAGTTAAAACTAACTTGTCTAACAGTTGGGGAAATGAGCGCTAGGAACACACAGTTTTGGTCACTGTGCCTAAAGTAAGTAGAATGGAGAGGGCACCTCAAACAAACGGGAAAACAGAGGCTTCCCTGTGGCTCCTGGGGAGGATGGGCCAGCTTGTGACTGACAGCCTAGGACACAGCTGCATGGCCAGAAGCACCGCTCTTTTGCAAGCTGTCACCAAGGAGAACAGTTACGCCCTCTCTTATTCTATCTGGCTGTGCCTTGTGGGCCACATGGGTCATGGATCTCATTTAGTCGTCAGCATTTATGTTCTGGGTTGGGCACCAGGAATACTAGGGCGAACCAGGGAGCAGACTGCCTAAATGAAGCACCCGATGAGCAGAGGAGACAGCCGATAGGAGCTGTCCTCCATCACGTGACAGGAGCTGTCAGGGCGTCGCGTTGAGGTGCTATGGAGCACTGAGAGTGACCCCTGTTGTCAGGGGAATTTGGATGGCGTCACAGAAGAGGGGAGGTCTGTGATGAGTGTTAGAGTACGGTTCGGATTTAGCAGACAGACAGTGAGCAGATCAGAGGGTGTGGGTGGGGGCTCTAACAGGTGGAGGTATTACGCTGCCAGCTCCTCAGTGTGCAGTGTAAGGGGTTAAGGGAGTCAAGAACACGAAGGGTCTTGTATGACAGGGCAGTGGGGAGCCACATGTTCACAGCAGTTAGGATCACGCTTGCGCTTCGGGAGGTCACCCTGGCAGAAGCCTAGGGGAGGATCTGAAGGCTGGAGACCAGCCCTATGGTCGGCTAAGAATTCTCCATTTGTGATCCCTAGAACATCAGCATTGACATCGTCTGGGAGCCTGCTGGAAGTCCAGATTCTTGGGCCCTACCCTGGGTATTGTGAATGAGAAACGCTGAGGGTGGAGCTGGGATGTAGGAAACATGATCCGAAGTATGACTCTAGAGGACCTGGTGTGTGATTAGATGGGGGCCGGGTGGGGGGGTGTCAGGGAGAGAGGACGGGACAGAAGCATGTTCTGTGTTGGTTACTGAAACCACTTTCTCTGTAGGTGTCCCTGGTGGGCTTCCTGTTCCTTCTGGGCTTATACATCTCGTCCCTGGCCTCCTGTATGGGAGGACTCTATGGAGCACCCCGGATCCTGCAGTGCATCGCCCAGGAGAAAGTGGTTCCCGCACTTGCCTGTCTGGGGCAAGGAGTGAGTGACCCTTTTTAGATGAAATGTACATTTTGCTTCTACACTGATTGTTGGCTCATAAATTGCTTATGCTTTTCTCAGTAGGGCCTCTGGTCAAGGTCTCTGGGGTGGCACCAATGAGAAAGCAGAGGTCAGTTCTCCGAGCTCTGTCTCTGGCTGGCTTAGGCTGGGGCCGGTTACATGAAGCATCCTCAATGTCACATCCGCTGGCCGCTGAGCACTGGTTTCTCTAACCAGTCATAGCAGCTTCTTAGACCCTGAGCAGCAGGGACTCAGAGGGCCCATCCTTGAATAAAAGTAAATTCAGGATCTTCCAAGTTTGGCGTTAGAAGAAAGCATGCAGGGCAGCTTGTCCTGCGGGTCCTGCAGATCTAGCTCCGTCCTTGAGGCTCACGTTGGGAGTCCCTGTTTGATGGTTTCTCACATCTCTGTCCTCCAGGCTCCCTGTTAGCCACCGAAGACCAAACCCTAACTGAGATGGTACAGCTTGGTTGCACCATGAGAAGGTTGGGGACCTCCTTGGTTGCACCAAAGAGACCTTCTAAAACCTAAAGAACGACAAAAGAGAAATAACTCAGAGAATCCCACTCCCAGTTATTCAGTTTGAAAGCTATAGCTTGTTTTTGTCCTCTTCCACTACAGATGCCCCAACCCCTCTGGTTCTGTCTCCCCTTACAGAGGGTGTATGTAGTTGCAAGCCATTCTTGTCGTAAGCCATCATTAATTCCTCCCTCACCTCCCTCCATGTATCCTCATTCTGCCCAGGTGGAGCAGAAGCAGGGACTCCCCTCTCAAGTACCTTTGATGTGCTATATGCCTTTTATTTTATTTCTTTCACTTGATTTATTTTTATTAGATAATATATACACAGAATTCAAAACTAAAAATGATACAAAAGAGAATTTTTGCTCTATTACAAGTGTCTCTACCTCTTTCTTTCTAACCCTGCTCCTTCAGTAGCTGTTTTTATTAGTTTTTTAAAAGAAGTATTTACTTCATTTTATTTATTTATTATTATTATTATTTAATCATGAGAGAGACAGAGAGAGAGGGAAAGTGAGAAAGCAAGTCACCAGGTCTGGGACTCAGACCACAGTTGGCCATGTGGGAGTCCAGTGCTTTAACCACCACACCACCTCCTGGCCTCCTGTTTTTATTAGTTTTTATAATGAATCCTTGTTCACATTTTTACACAAAAGATAGTACTCTATACATTGTTTTATACCTTGTTTTTTTTCATTTCGTATAGCCTAGATGTCTACCTTTTCATATGAATGTGGAAAAACTTTCTCATTCTTTTTCCATTATCCAGATACACCGTAATTTCATCAGTTCCCTATAGACTGACACTTGTATGGCTTCCTGTTAACAGTGCCGCAGTGGATAACCTTGTATTCATTCTTTGTATATGTACACATAGATAGACTCACTGGATAAACTCTCATAAGTGGGAATGTTGGGTCAAAGGGCAAATACATTTAAAATTTTTTTAAAAAGTATTTATTTAATTTGATTTATTGTTATTTTTAATTTGACCAGGGAGAGAGAGAGAATGAGAAAGGAAGTCGCCAGGTTTGGGACTTGAACTGTGGTCAGACATGTGGGAGTCCAGCTTCTCAACCACCATGCCAACTGCTGGCCTCATAAAATTTAATAGTAATAAATATTGCCTTCCATGAGATTTCTTTTTTTTATTCTAATTTATTTTATTATTATTTGTTCATTAAATCGCTATACGTCTATCAGCAACAAGAGTTTCTATTTTTCCAAAGCTGGTACTGCTGTTAAACTTGAGCCCAAAGATTCTGCCTTACAGGACTCTGCTCTGGCCCTAGGGTATAAGAAGTTTATCAGGCCATGAAACATGCCTGCCTAGTCCCAGGCCTTCACTTCTAGACCACTTTCCATGTCTGCTGCACTCTGGAATTCCTTGCTCAGATGGCACCCAGCCCCCTTGCAGGGTCTGCAAGGACCTCTTCTCTCTAGGGCCAGGGTGTAGGCTGAGAATCCACGTGTGTGTGAGGCCCCTGCAGTGTGATCTGGGACGAGATGGGGCGGGCTTTGAGCTGAACATTGTATATCACCATCTTTAGAGGAAAGTCTGAGGAGGGCAAGGATTCTAAACTGAAGCTGGACTTCTCATCATCACAAAGGTATTTTTCCCAAGGAGGGCGGATAAGACATATTTGACTTAACAGGTTATTAGCTTGACTTTATCCTTGTAAATATTTAGGCATACGCTCCATTTGCACTCTTGCCCTGGGCAGCAAACATAGTGTTAGCAAGAAGCCTGTCCACAGCTCATTGTCAAATGTGAATTTTTGCCAATTATATGAGGGGTCTTCAAAGAGTTTGGGGGAGTACATATTATGAAAAAACTATGCATGGATTTCAAAATGCTTGAAAGCGCCAAGATAAACTTTATTTTTATTCCATTGTTCTGCAAACTTTTTCTAAACCCCTAGTACAGTGAGAGATGGCTTTTTAGGATTTTGTGATTTGCGTTACCTTTATCATGATTGAAGCTGAATGTCTTTTTCTCTAAGAGCTATGTATCATTTTTTCTGAGGTTGTCAGGCTCATCTCAATTGTTAAAAGCTCTTCCTTTGCTAAGAAGATGGACTCATTATTATATGTTTTTCAGAAACTTTTTATAGTTTCTCACCTGTCTTTTAACTTTTCAGCCTTTCCCCCTTAAAGTTTCTTATATATGATTAATTTTTACTATCACATTTTCTTTTCTAATAGAAGAAACTTAAAATATTCAAAGTTTTTTTTAAGTTAATGTACTTTATTAATGATAGAAAGTTCATGCTTGAGTGAGAGAAAGAGAGAAAGGGAGACAGAGCAAAAGAAAAGCAAGCACCTTCGATGGTCTCCTGTCACACTGTTACCCTCCTTCCACCCCGTCAGGATCCCGGGCACGTCTACAGGTGCCTGGTGTGTTTTCAAATTAACCCAAAGAGCCGAGCCCACAGTCAGCCATGTGGCTTCCTACACTTCAGTTCACTTTGTTACCAATTGCATCAGCAGGCTAGTCCTTAAAAATATTATTTTCAGATATATTCAATATACAAAAAAAGGGCATTAAACTAATATTAACAGTTTAAAGAGAAACTTCAAAGTGGTACCCTCACAAGGGTTGCTAGATGCAACCCTCCACGTGGCCCTCCTGGTCAGGTCCCTTCCCTTTCACTGGTGGCCACTATCCTGACTTTTGTGATATATACATGTATATATATACACATAAATAATACGATACATAATATATAAAATATATGATATATAATATATAGCATATATTATAATATACATATATTA